CAGATTGGTGTGACGTAAGGCGTCTGGATTGGCATGTAGTAGCGTGTTTGATTAGGAGAACATTTCCTTATGGGGCATTTGAACTCATAGATAATGTTCGTGTCTTAGTAATATATATATATATATATAAGTAGAGAGAGAGAGAGAGAAAGAGAGAGAGATGTAGACGTCAAAACAAAGCTTTAGTTACATTTTGGGGTAGTTTCAGCATGTTTAATTATTTTTATTGCATTTATTTCTAGAAAACTTCAGTTATTATGACGATTAAACTAATATTAATTTAAGTCTTTGAAATGTAAGAAAAATATTTTTTTCTTTTTTTTCCCATAATATATATTGAAACATGGATAATGGGATGGATCTAAAAATGCTGAAAAATAAAAATGGTAAAGTTATTGAGTGAACGAATGTCCATATTGAAGATATCAAAGGAGCTTCGAAGAGATCATTGCACAGTAAAATGGGATTTTGAAAATATACCCATGTTGAGAACTCGACACAAAGGCAAAAAAGACTTTAAGAATTTCTCTACTCAAGTGGAACGTAAACTAAATCGAGTTATAGCGAAACAACAACTTTTGAACTGTGCTCAGATCCTTGAACAGGTTGGAATTAAGGGAGTCAAAAGATGTGTAATCCTTTTCCAATTGGGTCTGTCAAGAAATCACCAAGGTAAACTACTCCCAGTAAAGCAAATATTTTAACGCGTAAAATTTGGGCCAACAAATACATGAATATTGACTTTTCTAAAGTATTTTTTACGGACGAATCTCAGGTGACATTTGATGGACTAGATGGATTGGCCAAAGGAAGCATTTAATCCGATGCAGATGTGCCTGTGGCTAAAAGAAGGCAGCTGTGCGGTAATATGGGCTGGAATTGTCGATCAAATCATTATTGGATGATTTAAAGCCGATGATGGGGTTAAATTGAACAGTGCTATTGCGATTTTATAGACAAAACTTTTTGAATGTTATAAGTACAAGTCTCGCAGTTTCAATGTGAAGTATGTATTTATAATTTTTTTGAGCCGATAAGGTTTACAGGCGAGAAGATGATGGAATGGCCACCATCAAGTCCCGATCTGAATCCGATCGAAAATATATAGTCAACTGTGAAAATGAAATTATATGAAGGTGACAAACAATAGAACAGCAAAGTAGACCTATGTCAAGCAATTAAAACCACCATGTCGGAAATTAAACCTGCTGTAATAAAACAATTAAGAAAAATCAATAGATTGCTGGTCATTATTAAGAAGAAAGTCATTATATTAAGATGCAATTGCTTCAAAGACTTATCATATACTAGCAGTAGAGCCCGGCGTTGCCCGGGGATATAACAGTAAGAGATAGATCAAGTATCGACCAACATAAAAACTGAAAAATAAAATTGACAAAGATTATTGTTTAAGGTTGACGGACACACATGTCTGAATTAGTTTTTTTTGTTTGTTTTTTTACGAATTGGTCAAACCCAAACTCAAACAAAAACATTGTTTTCAATCGTTATGAGTTTACCGATTGAATAGAATTTTATTATAAACAATTGTCTTGTAAATGGAATTTTTTAAAGCATTCTGAATGTAAGAATAAAGAAAAAAGTGTGCAAGACAATAAGAAACACTACCTGCCAAAAAAAGTAAAGTTTTGTTGAAATCGGTTGAAAAATGTAGGAAATACGATCCCATATCTAAACGAACACACACATACACAAACAACCTGGGTTTTATAATAAGTATAACTCGATATGAGTTGTCCCCCTTTCATTAATGCCTCTTAATCGTGTTTTCAAATTGATTTCGGGCAAAAACAATTGTGTTTTTCTACTTTTGGGCGCTGTTAGAACCACCGCAAGGTAATTTTACGTAGTCCTGTGAAGTTTTGTTGAAATCGGTTGAAAAATGTAGGAAATCCGATCCAATATATAAACGTACAGACACACACACACAACCTGGGTTTTATAATAAGTATGATGTTTGTTATTTGTTCTATTATAAGTGTTGATCAATTGTTGATGATTTTATTAACTTGTTATTGAAGTAAAAAGTAATTTTATGTTTTGCATAAATTCAGACTAGATTTTATAATAAATTCAATAACTTTAATAAAGCATGCTTAAACTATCTAAGAATTTAACTCAAGCTTTGTTTTCACGTCTAAATTATTCATTTAAAATTT